CCTGAACTGGAACAGCTCAACTATTTTCCTAACATTTATGGGGTTTATATGCAACAGACCTTATTTCAGCTGCCTCTCACTACCTAAGAGTATCCCCAAGGTGGGGATAGAGGGGTGCTTTATAGACCAGACCTGCTAATATACACTCCTTTCTGTGTTTAGTGCGACAAATCTGAGTTCAAAATAGCTCTCAGAGGAAAATCTCCATTGAAGCGGTAACAGCAGTGATGCTGGCCATCACAGCTTGGGACCCAAGCCACAAAACCACGGCTTGAGCGTTACATACTGGACAGGACCAAACCAGCTTGTGAAATCACTGTCCTGACCATGATGTCACTGCAACTTGAGGAGAATTCAGGCGATTTAACACAAATTCTTGCATCAAGGCTGTACACATCAGGAGGAAGAGGTACCTGTACTGATCCTCCGTGCCGATCTGCAGCCAAATGAGATGTCAAGTACGAGGTATTCGTCTGCCGGCTTGGCTGGATCTCCCACTCCCCTCGGCGATCTGATGATGCCTGCTCACAAGTTCAGAAGCACCAGAGAAACAGAAGAGAGGGCAAAAGGTGAATGAGGGGAAGAAGTAAAAGGGTGTTTGTTAGTGAGTTAGTTTCTTTGCAAAAAGCAAGGCATTTAAACTTTTAGCTGGGCTAAAATCTCTCTTTACCAAGTGCACCTCATACTTCAGCAGTGTCTGCAGTAATCCACTGCAGGAGTGGATTTCTTCTCCTCTAGCTGCTAAATGAAGAGAAAGCTCAGATCTATTCAGGAAGTTATTTCTTTACACGGCTTCATTTCCATGGGTTTCAGCAGAGAAATAAACACACTGACAGTATGTTTAACTACATCTGTCAGGTCACACACACCAGAGCACTTGGCATGGCACCAAGATCGGATACACAAGCTTGACCTCCCTAAAACACATATTTTTTAACTAAAATTTGCAACATAAAACAAAGCCACATTCTATTTCACCAAAAGCCAGTTCCACACACTGATTCACCTGTACAGTGGAGAAGGAAACATCCACCACACCTGCTTGACTGGGGAGAGGGTTGGTGGCTTTTTGGTTTTCTGCAGAAAAGTAGATAAGAAACTTTTGCTAGCAGTTTCCTCTTTATCCCCAACAGAGGCAATTCAATTATCAGAATTTTATTTGTTTTATTAGAAGAACCACTTTGCACTTGCATGTGAAGCTCCTTACGGGTCACCCAGCTTTGATGACAACACATCCATCATTCACCTAAGACCCAGGAGGATCTCAGTGCACCTACACCCAACCACCAGCTGAAGGAACACTCCCTAAGACTGGCAGGTGTAGGACAAACAGGTTGGCCTCAGGCCAACAGCAGAGGGCAGAGTCAAGCCTGAAGTGACCGATGGGACACATTTACAAGGCGTCTCCCTGGTTGCCCTATAAAAATTTAAGCAAAGGTTTCAAAGGTGAAGCACAGGTTTGAAAGAAGAGAGGGCAGAGCAGCAGAGCCACCCCAGCGCACACACACCCGGCAGGAGGGATGCTGAACAGAGACACCATGGACCTGGCCAGGAAACAAGGGGCTCAAGCGGATAAACACCAGGTTATCAGCAGTAAAGCTGAAGTAGCTAACCAAAGAGAGGTGCACAGGCCCTGCCTTTCCCCAGCACTACTTTGTGTTACTCCCTGCAGCCACGGCTGATGAGCCCGAAACCCCGTCAGACAAAGAGAAGCCACAGGGCTCAGGATCACTGTAAAAAAAGAAAAAAAAGAAAAAAAAAAAGAAAAAAGAAAAAAAGACTGCAAGCAGAGAAAGACTGCAGAAACCCCTGAGTAAACTTCAACACTAACTGGTAAATTGTCACTCGACTAGAGCAGGAGCACGTGCAAAAAGCAGGAGAACAAAGAACTCTCCTGGCATTTCATAAAACGTTCACTATTGTTCCCTTTGCATGTGACCTCTGACTCCATCCTGGAGTGACCCATAGTGCCATTCCTCCTTCCAGGCAGTCACCAAACCCAGTTCATAGGTACTATTTCCCCAGAGGTGGTCCTGTCCAGGCTTGTCCTATTAAATCTTCTTACGATGTGTTCTTCCCATCAGCCTGAGGTGCTGCTTACGCTTTTTGTGCTTGGTGACACTCGAAGGAGAAGCACTTCCCGTGGAATATTTTTTTAATGGCTGCAAGTCACAAGATCATGAACAACTGGAGAATTTAAATGCAGGTTCTAAAAGCTAGTAGAAGACAGATCTTGAGTGCTGCTTCTTCCAAGGCACTAAGCTATCAGGTTGCTTGGCTAGCCCAGGCGATGGAGTAGGAGAAGCCTCAGGAGAAGCAAGTTTCTGCCTAGGTGCCTGGAAGTAGTTTCTAGGAAAGGCTCTAGTAGCCACACGAGCCACATTTTTCTCTTTTAGCTCTACAGCCAAGTATGTGCTAAACTGGTTTTGAGGTATGCTTGAGTTGAGCCAGCCAAAACACAACCCAAGCAGTGACATTGAGGAAGCGATGCCCATGAAATCTGAGAGCATCAAGTTCCCATTAACACTTATCACCTTCCTACCAGCTACCAAATTACAAGACAAGACTGACACTCAAAGACAGAGGAAGCAGGGCTCATCCATCTTCGATAGCTAAGTATCTTCACTTCCTAGAGGAAAAGGCTACAAAAAGGAGATCTCTCATCAGCGTCTTTACTGGGAACCAAATATTATAAAAGAGAATCTGCAGTTGTTATACCCGGGAACAAAAATAAGGCAATGAAATCTGGAGATCAAGGCAGACACTCGACCCAAACCCATGCCTCCGATTCACTGCTCTAGACATTTATTTTTTCTACTTTTTCCTTGAGAGAAATTGTTTGCTCAATACTTAAAAGGAGAATCCCTTGGAAAAGAGTTGTTTATGTTTCAGCAAGAAGAAACTGATTTTCCCTTCACATTGGGATATTAAATAATTCAGCATCCTAAGTAACGTTTAGGTGGAGAAAATGACAAAAGCTGCTATGCAATACAGCATCAAGGCTATTTGTGAGGCTCAAAAGAACAAGGACTGAAGGCTGCCTGCATAATATTTTGTGACTAGGACAGATTTCTTTGGGCTAAATGCTATAATTTGTAAAGTAACATGCTTGAAAATGAAGCCAGGCGTCATTGTCCGTTAATGGAAACAAGATGCCTCATACGTACACAGCGTGAAGGTCTGTGGCCAAAGCGGACAACTAGAGACTGCCATCCAAAAAAGAGGGGTTAATGCATTAATCAGGCAACATATTAGAGCAGATTATTTTACTAGTACTCACAAACCAGTCCACACTAATCAGCATGCATAAACACAGTACTGCACACGTGCTTCAAACAATCCAGCTTCCTACAAGCAACACTCTAACAAGAAGTATTCACCCTGATTGTGGCTGACGGCTCAAGATGTATTCTAGTCTACGTTAGCTGCTCTACCATTCAGACCCCAGCTGCACGGAACAAGGAAAGCTGAGCCCAGACAGGTTATTACATCTCACACTCGGTTCTGCACCCATGAACCCCACTGGCGTGAGCTGAGTGGGAGCAGAGGCGGCAGACAAGGAGCTAGAATGGCACACAGCGGTTAGAGGAGCAGAGCGAGCCCAGAACCACTCACTGGGAAGTAAGAGCACCAACAGCTCTAGCTAGGAGCCAGCAGTTGGAGATCTACTGAACTTCTGATCAGTTCTGTTAATACAGAAAATCCAAACTCTCAACACCAACAAAATATTACAACTAGAAAGGATAAAAAATGGGGAAATTCAAATTCGAAAACTGGCAGTTCATCCAGACCACAATGCCCAGCCTCCCCAAGGGACCCTACCCTGGCAGTCCTTTACGCTCTGCAACACTCACGCTGCGAACTGGACACCTGAGAAGGATATACTGCGCGTACACGGGGCATGCACATCCTTATCGCAGCCACACCGTCCATGGGAAGAGGGCACCTGGGAGCAGGCTGCCATCGCCACAACTGTTGGACTACTCCACAGTCCATGTGCTACGAGTAAAAGCACCCAGAAGAATGTTGTTGGCCAGGTAGATGAGGTAGTCTGACCAGGCTGGACAGCTGACTCAAACAGCTTACCCACAAACTACAGGAAAACGACCCGTTCCACATTGTACTCCACCTGGTTCACAATCCCGAGGAATCCCACTGGCTGATACAGTATTTTAGCAGTCTGTTGCTTTGACAAAATTCTGCTTAATCTCTAAACTAAGCAGGAATTCTGCTTGCTATGCCCAAAGCAACAATCAGCCCCAGTCACCTCTAATGGTATACAGCTTCTGCTTCTCCAGTCCAAGAGGAATTCAGAGAAGTGCCAAACAATGCGGCACTGCCGAAGCAGCTGTGAGCAACACACCTGATTGCGAAGGGCCTGCTGCGATGGTCGATCCCTATGCATGTGACTGTCTCTTGTTACTGCGGACGTCCCAGAATCTACGTGAACAGATCCCACTGGAGTAGGCTGGAAAACAAAGTGTTGGTTAGGATGAAGCCAATGCTGAGGACGGTGCTCTCCCTCAGCACACGCCTGCACAAATCTAACTTGTCAGGCTGGCTCCCATCGAACGGTAGCAGGAAAACATTAAAACAGTGCCCAAAGGTATTAACAATAATCGAGGAAAATTACAGCTAGGGCTAGAAAATCCCTGTGATTTGATGGACATGTGATTTGATGCTGGACACCAGCACCACACGTCTTGTATAAAAATTAATGAAAAAGATATCGTTAGGTATCTGTACCACTGTCGGATCACACCTAATGTGTCTCACTAGGATTATTACAACTGAAAACACACAGACTCGTTTTCCTCGTCATCTTGCCACTTTTAAAAGTCACACTTGCGTAGAAACAGGACTTGTTAAAATTAAAGCTTCATCTGCTCTATTCTCACCAAAGTCATAATCCCTGCTCACAACATCAAAATCTCCATAGCAACCACTGCAGTTGTCAGAAATAGCATGCTTGTCTTACGAGGTGCTTTTTATCAATTGCCTTTGTAATTACACAAAAATGAGGAGAAAAATCATGATTCACAAAAGGAATGATTTCTTATGAAGATGAACTGTTTTGGGCACAGTAAACATTAGTAATGCTAAATATAGTTGGGATGGCAAATCACCGGCAACGGTACCAAGTTTAGCACTGAAGGCATTTGATCTGGCACCAGTGACAATTAATTTACAGATGCCTTTGCCATTGCCAGTGTGTGGTGACTGGCCATTAGCAGGAAGGCTACCAGCAGAACGACACAAAACACAAGCGACAGGCAGCCAGTGGAAGAGCTCTAGACTTTTCTGTTAGATTTCCTCATGACACATCTTTTTGGCCAAGGTCTTCTTGAGTATAAATGGCTTTTGACAATAGAAGCAACATAATGAGATCACAATTATGGTCCATCTGGCATCATGAAACTGCTAAATGGAGCTTGGTTACTCCCACATTTCCTTGCCATGTGCTATAAAGAACCAGTTCAGACTCTGGAGTAGGGTAACCCCCAAGATCTTTTGAGCTCAGAACTGGTTTGCTGTTACTATTCACAGAGCCCTGCCTAGATCCCTGATACATCTTGACGAGAATTCGACCATTACAGAGGTCTTCCACCATTCAGTGCTGAGGTAGCAAGTATGCTCTCCTGCTTTAAGATCGATGTCTTTAGGTATTTGTCTCAAATCCTGTGCTAGACTAGAGGAAATTAAGTCTAGTCACATTCATTGCCACAAGTGGGAAAATCAAGTTTGAATGCCCCAAAGAGGTGGGAAGGGGACTTCTGCCCCTTAGGGCAACTTCAAGGCACTGCAAGAACCCCCTGAACACAACATCAGGACATCTCACTATGTTGAGCCCATGTTAGCTAGAGAACAGAAGTGAAAGATTTGACCCTAAGCTCACTGGTATTAACTGGGATTATCAGGAACAAGAGCCGGGGGTGGGGAAGCAGCACCTGGAAGGCAGGGCAGTGCCTTTTGCAGGGACAACTTACAATAGGTCTGCCGACCCAGTCATAGGCATAATCAAAGGTGTAGCCTTTCTTTTCAAACAGCTCTGTGAAGATGGTTCGTAAATAATCGTAGTCTGGTCTCTCAAAGAAGTCTAATCGCCGAACGTAACGGAGGTATGTGGCCATCTCCTCTGTTGGAAAAGGGGGAAAAACAGCAGCATCAGTTCTGCTCGTACATGAGCTCCATCACTTACAAGCCTCCCAGAGCCAACACACAAAGGAAATATGCTTTTCAATTAACTCCAACGAGTCTTTCCCGTGGCACCAGGATCACAGTCGGTGCTTAAAGTTGGGCTGAGGGCCAGATCACCAGTGACATGAGCTGTCCAGGCTCCGTGAAGTTCAGCTGAGCCATGCGCATTGACAGAAGCTGCAGATATCCAACAAGTCTTCACCCCCAGTGAGCTACTCAACAGTCCCTTATTGCTGGATGAATCTCACTCAGCTTTCCAGAGCCCTCCTGCCCTGCCCGAAGTGTAAAAATAGTCTGCTTTTATTCTGAATCTTCTGAATGAGTTATAAACCAAGGTCTGTGTTTTAGTATTGAGCATCACGCTGTAAGAGAATTGTCTGGGCTGCCGGTGCTACCTCTGGCTTTTTCTATAAAAGTAGTGGGGTTTAGTAATAGTCCACAATGCAAGTCAATTCAAACACTTCTCAAGCAAAGCTAGAAGTCCCACCTCTGCTCCAGAGAGCTGCTGCTCCACCTCAAATCTGAGTTCCGCAGTTAGTTTTATTCTACATATTTGTAGAAAAACAAACACTAAACCACACTGTACAATAAACGCCAAGCCACTGAACCTGCCAACAGGATGCCCACATGTATGTCTGCTCACACAGACAATAGCCACAGTGATTTCACCTGGGGAAGGAAAGCAGGAGATATCGGCAGGCACCCCATGGCACCCCTGAGCTCCAGCAACAACCAGGGTCTGGCTGCCCAGTGCTGCCCAACGTCATTACATCAGTCATAGCCTTGAATATCCAAAACAAGACTTGGAAGGCGAGGCCCCAACGTTAATTAACTGGCACACACAGAACAGTGTTTGGTGTTAAGCTAATTAATTGCTTTCCTGCATCTAGGTCATACTTTGCATGCACAGAGAACTGAGCCCTGGTAACTCATGTCCTACCCCTTCCTAGCTCTCCCTTGGCTCACACCTAGGCTGAGGTAGGATGTTTGAGCAGAGCTCAGGACGAGGCATGAGTCTGTGCACTTCAGTACGACTGAGACACCAGCACGGTTTTTGCCTTTAGCTAACAAAAATAAGAACAGCATTGCTTAGCGATACTTAACTCCATGGCTTGCAGCTTGCATGTCACATGGAGGTAAAAAAGGAAAAAAGGAGAAGAAAGGTAATCCCCTCTTCCTGCTAGTACCTCTGAAAGGTGGAGGACCAACAGGTTTCAGGCAAGCAAGGTACAGAAACAAGTTCTCTCATCTCCCTTCAGCCTGGACCTGCAGGTGTGACCAAGCTCTAAGGAAGAAGTACTGGGGAAAAAGATGAGAACAGCCAGCCCCAACGAACCATGTGGATTTTGGATCCAAATATGTCTGGGGAATTAGCATTACTTGAGTGAACAACAGTCCCCTCCCGGGCTCGCTGCTCCTCATGCCGGAAAAGAGCTGTGTCACACAACAGCTCCTACAGGAATGGCACCAACTGTGGGGACCCAGGTGCTCTCCCTGGTGTCAGGTTTTCAAAAAACACCAAAAAAATCCCACTCTGTGAAGGCCACAGGGTACCTGTGGAGAGGCCGCAAGATACCTGGGGAGGGATTTAATTTTGTACTCTGCTCTCCTAGCTCCAAGGTGGACTTTTGTTTAACTGGAGAAAAGGTGTTGGGCTTGGCTAGAGGCACATCTTTAGTAATGTTCTCCTTCAAACCCCTGTCAGAAGGTGGAATTCAAGGACAGACACATTGTCCCATCATATAAGCTCGCCACCTACCATTTTACACCTGTAAAACCTTCAATTTGGAAAAGAATTAAGTCAGTAGATCCAACATGGTCACTTGGGAGAGGGAAAACAACAAGGCCCTCTTTTGGAAGGAAGCCAAGAAGCAAAGCAGGAACACAAGGCACTTGAGCACTGTCCAGTCTCCTTGATGACAAGAGTTATGCTCATTTTAAGTCACAGCCACAAGCCCTCAGGCCCTGCTTATTTACAGTGGCAGCTCCAGTTTTTTGCCAGCTTGAGGAACAACATAATGGATACACATCATCCAAATACTTTCTGCCAGAGGAGCTCAGAACTGTCATATTTAACATGCTATGCCCACCTCCAATTGCACTCAAATGGTCCCATCAGGGCTTTACCTGGAAAGTTCTCACAGAGAACTTCAACTGGAGTGTTTCTCTTTGTGTCCCCAATCTTCTGATACCTCTCTTTTAAGGTGTCAGCCTATAGCGCACAAAGACAAAACAGTTGTGGAGAAAGAGTTCAACCATGTGATAAACGACATGCTGTATGGGAAGAAAAACAAGGTATTTAATACCGATTCTGGGTGGTATCAGATGTTATTTGTAACTGAACTGCATCCTAGACTACACCAGTAGGAACACTATCTTACCCTGTTGTAATTCTCACTATGCATTTTATGTGCTCTTGGCAAAGAATACCCAAGGACACATTCAAAACATCTTCAGCACTTGAAATGAAGGACACTTGTTAGTGTCTTACAAGGCTGATTTCTTACCCGCCCAGTCCTGAGGACCATATAGGGAAGCTTTCATGGGCCAAGACGACAAAGCTGCATACACTATAATTGCACAACAGCATCCTGTCCTAGGCTTAGAGCCACTGGCAACCAAGATGACTTCATAAACAACTGTAAAAGTAGACACGCTGCAATGGCAATTTGGGTTTTACTGTGTATAACAGAATGCCACTCATAGTTAAGTAGTTTACATCAGTCATACTTCTACCAAATCCCATGCTACTCCCATACTGCCTCTCCTCTCACCCCCAAACAGTCTTATCACTTAAACAGCCACTCATCAAGAAAATGAAACAATTTTCAGTCAGATTTCCCACCTAAATCCCCCTTGAAGCAGAAAACTCTGCTCCAGTCGGCACCCTAAGAACAAGTTTTATTGCCTCGATTTCAAAATATGCCAATTAGACCTGTCAGCTGCATAATTAGCATCATAAGATGTTCTCTCAAGACTTTAGCACTGACAGTATAGACCAAAAGGGTAAGCTGAGGAAACCTAGAATAGTGAAGATGCCATATTCTAGATCAAGCTAAAGAGTCTATGTTTGTTCTGGTGCTAAAAAAAATGCAGGATTTCAAGAGCAGCCAACTAATTCATATCAATTTCAGCACTGCACTGAGGAAATTTTGTAGAATCTTGTCTAAACCTGGAATTATTTTATAGTGATTTACAGGATTAATTTAAAGCAGCTAAGTTCAACTAAGCCAGAAACAAAATATGTCACAGAATAACACACACTTACAGAGATGTGAACTTAAAGTCAGAGAGATTCTGATTTCTTTCACGATCACTTTAATGCTTGAAAAAACCTTTCTTTGCTTTTATGAGTTGTTGCCAAGATTTCTGGCACAGTTCTGATAAGGCTAAGCTAAGACTAACTCTGTACAGATAGCAACAAAGCATCTTAACGAGGTCTATCACGCAAGACACTGCCACCGACCATAGCAGCATTCTGCTAAGCAGCTTGTGAGCCCAAAAGCTGGTCTCCTTTTTCCAACAGTACTACCAACAGCCCTAACAGGATGTCTTCATTATAAACCTTCTCCTAACTTGATCAGATTCGATCCCTTCACTCACTGCAGTTTCAAAGCTGAACAGCGTAGCTTAATCATCAGGAAAGCGATGGAGAAGTGAAGATGCAGCTACCAACAGCTTCAGAGCCAGCAAATGACTCACTACTAGTTAATTCAGCTGATGGATGTTAGCTGCAGTTGCTGCAACTCAATTGCTTGCAGCCCTCCACATTGTACATGACATTTCATAAACTTCTAAGCACTGAGTGTGCAGTGCCTCTGGAGGGAAGCCAAGCTCAATACTTCTGCCAAAAAAACAGTTTTTCAAGCTCAAGTCCATCTGCATGTCTAAACCCATCAAACCGCTCCCGTTATAAACACGTTTCACAGATGCAGCTGCAGGACTGTGTGCCGTAACTGGAATTTCATAAACAACCACTCTGTTCCAGTCATGCTCTAGCTCGGGGCAGCTTCACATTACAGCAAAGCTGCTCCAAGAGCTCAGTGGCTCTCTCATTGCTGTCCCTGTCCCAGCTCCTCATCTGCCTCTGCTGAATCTTCTCTCCAGACTTGTACCAATTCAGCTACGCTAACAGTAACTTGGAAGTGACAGATAATAAATTTCTGTCTTAAAATCCTTCCTGTATGTAAAGCTAACACCCTGTCATTTGACTTCAAGGATTCAAAGGAGAGGACAGCGTTTCTGTCTGGATTTTACAAATGTTTCCCTCATCAGATTCTCATTTGGGTAGAAACCAGACAAAATTTCCAAGGGCAAAACCTAAAGCTCAAACCTACCTTCAATCCTTGCCAGGGCAGACTGCCTCGGAGGAAATACATAAACATATGGCCGAGGGCTTCCAAGTCATCTCGACGACTTTGCTCTAGGACAGAAGAGATGACAAATTATTTCTGCAGCTGCAGAAACAGATCTGAGACCTGATCAGCAGCCACGCATATTTCTGACATAAAGTTATCACAGGGAAGTTCACTTGCTGTCTGTAGCTCAGACCTTGTGCAAAACCACCTAGAACCTGTTACAAAAAACCAGAAAACACGTAAAGAAAAGATCAGCTCGAAGGCATGAGGTAACACAGGAGCTGTAAGACATAATGCCCAGCCTTAGGTAGAATGGATAAGACGTGGAAGTATTAACTGAAGAGGAATAAAGCAGTTCCCCAGTTCTTCTCTGGGCTGCCAGTGCCGATGGTGTGCCTGTGGTGCGGTGCTGGATCAGTTATTTCCTCTGAACTACACAGGAACAGGCAGCGGACACTTGCAACCACCTGCAGGGAACTACCACGTTGCACAGTGCCAACCCCTTCCTAATTGCTTCTGCAGCTCATCACATCAGAACAGATCAAAAATAGCTCCTTCTAGCACTGCTTCTCCTTGTGAAACACTTGCTGCTGTTGCCATGCAGATGTTACGATTAGAAATGGGGGGGTGGTGGTGGTGGTGGTGGTGGTGAAAGGGGCCTCAAGCCAAAGGAAAAAAATTCCTTAAAATAATCTACCAAAATGTATAAAAAAACCCCAAGGGAGGATACAAGACAGAACAACAAATCTGGAGTGCAACAGCATGGGACTGCTGCTGTGCTGGGCTGCATCATGCAGATTTGGGTTCATGCAGCTTGCAGACCGATTTGATGCAACCTCCTCTCCTCCAAATCTCCACCTGCAAGCAAATAATGCCCTCCATAGCCACAATCCGGACCAGATCTAGTCATGCAGCCCACACGCCACGACAAACGGTGTGTGAGCTGTCCCTGATGCTGCATCATCTGCAACAGAAAAAAGCAGTGCTTTGCACAGCATGCCTCTCCTTCCAAAGCAGCGGCAAATTTAACCCTCAAAAGATGCTGGGGGTGAGAACACTCAGCAGAAGGGAACCGAGATGACAGTTCCTGCAAGTTAGCTGTAAAAAGGGGAAAAAAGAAGAGGATGTCCTGGGTAATTTAGTGCAATGATGCAGATGAACTTTTCAGGAAGATGGCTGAGTGCACTTGTCTTTCAGAAAAATTTCAGACTATTTTTGCTTGGTCCTGAAATGTGAAGTGACCAACTCCACCTGGGCTGGCCTCACCAGCAAAGCATCAGCCCCACATGGCCGGCAGCCAACCCTCCCGTCCTCAAAAACACCCACCCAGAACTGACTCTTCTCCTGCATGAGCTGCAAAACCTGCAGGGAAATGGGTCCTAAAGAAGGCATGTGGTGCACTTCAAAGGCAAGCACATCTTCTTTCCACATCCACTTGCAGAGCACTTCCCCAGCACCAGCAGTTCCCGAGCCTGCTCCCACTGTGGATTCTCATTCCTCCATCCCTTCCTGACTCTTCACCAGGTTTTCCCAAATGAGAGGCTGGGCTCATCCCTCCTGACTCCCCAAAGCAAGCGAGCTCTCCAAGAGACACAAAAGCCAGCAATGCCTTGATCTCACAGCTGGGAGGCTACTCAAAGAAAATTCCATTATCTTACTGCTCTTACGAGTTTAAGAGAATATAAACATTTAACAAGGTTTTTTGCCTTTCAGCCACAGAAATGTAATCTTCTGGTATGAAAGGCAGTGAGGAGAGGAGATGAAAGCCAGGTTTAAAATTAGTTAAATCATTCATTTTCCCCAAGCAGTTGTGAGGTCAGGGAACAGCCACCTCTAACACCTGAAACTGGAAGGTACTGGTATAAAGCTCTGCTATAAAAATCTATTTGGTCACTATTTAGTGCAGCAATTACTACCCACCTACTTGCCTTTTATCAGTGCAGGACTGCTACCAGTTATTTAGTTCCTAATAAAAACTATAATTATGAGGCTTCCAACATTTCAGCTGTCTCAATTCATCACAAGTGGGGGGGGAAGTTTCACAACTGTAAACAGCATCACAGCATCGAGAGGTTTACAAATAGCTCCAAGGGTACAAGAGAGCCGTCAGCCAAGCCACCATCAGAGGTCTGCAGGACTTGGCACAGCAAGCTCCCACCAACCACACAGACCTTTGCCAAGGTGAGTGTTGATGGACATGTATCTCGCCGTTCCAGTTAAGCTCTTGTGTTCCCTGTAAGGTATGTGTTTTTTGGTTTCCGGGTCAATGTACTCCTTCGCCAATCCAAAGTCTATGATGTGAATGACGTGCTCTTTCTTATTGCCTTGCCGGCCAATAAGGAAGTTTTCTGGTTTGACATCTCTGTAGATGAGGTTCTTCGAATGCACATACTCCATTCGAGATATCTGCAAAACAACGAGGCACAAGTTATTTGCAAGCAGACCAGCTACCGTGCTCTCCCACGAGCGAGGCAGCCAGGTTTTGTTAGCCCCTCACCTAGCCATGGCTCAGGGCTACCTCAGAGTTCAGCTACTCTATGAGAAATGCAACAACAGATGGAGTGATCCAAGGCCGCAGTTACCGTCGGAGCTGGGTCATGTCCTCCGATGCAGAGTTGGAAGAGGAATTTGTCATCCCCTCCTTTCACCGTCCACCCTACTGTGCTCCCGGACTTTATTCCTACAGAAATTGCAAAGGCAGTTTCTGAAACACTGCCGGGACACAGCTCTTGGAAGGATGTCACGGGGAATTGCAGCAGCCTTTTTGTTTTGATTTTAAACATACTAAACCAGTTACCAAGAGCTCTTGCCTTGCCCACAGCCTTCCCTTGTTGCTTTGTTTATTACCACCTTCCTCCCTTGACCCGTATGTTGTCATAAACACACCAGATTTTTCATGGAGAGGGATTTTTGGGCAAGCAGAAGCTTTATGATCCTCTAAAAATAATAATTAATCTTATTGGTTGTCAACTAGGAATAGCTGGAATATTTTTCGGCTTTTGACGAACTTCTGGCAGTATGACTGAGAAGGGAGGGTAAAAGGGCAGAAACTCCACTTCCAAGATGATGGAAGGCTATTTCCCCTCTAACAACGCAGCTCATTCAGATGCTCATCATTAATATTGCTTTTGAAACTAAATATATTGCAGGTAAAGTTTGAACAGGTCACCAAGCAGCTCTCCTTTGAGTTCGTAACTGAATAGATGATTCCAGTTGGAAATAACTCATAACTTCATTTAATTTATTACTATTTAATTTATTTATTACTGTTTATTAGTATTTAATTTCCTTTTCAGGTTTTAAACGAAAACATGTGAATTCCCATTTATGGCTGTCCTGGTCCACAGCTGCCCCGCATGCTGGGGCACGGTGGCTTTTTTAAGCAAGATGCTTGCTTGGAAAGGCTATTTGAATCTACCCGTCTGCATGCAGGCTTGCAACACCACGAAACCACTGCAGAGCTCTTGCAAACTCCAAATTTTGCACTAACGAGCGTCAGTCCACAGAGGTCACTGCCGCACCGTTGTAGTGTACCTCACAGCATGATGCTATCAGAATTGGTGAACACCTAAGGTGAGAGCCACCGGCCGGTCACCCCCCAAGGACCTCCCTGTGGGGAGTCGCTAGTTCCTGAGCGGCTTTGCACTGGGTTGATACTGGTCGGACAGTTCCACACCTCCTGCACGGGGCAGGCTGGAGCTCTGCATCAGCTTTTCCCCCAGCTGAGCAGCTGCCCACAGCAGTAACCCCACGTTGGTCCTTCCAACCACCCCGCTTACCTCAACTGCAAGCACCGTTGGGCTGATAGACCCCAACTGCTCTTTGTTTTTGTGCTCTGAATTCAGACGTGTTCTCAGCCAGCAAACCCAGACCTCTCTGTCGCTTTACAGACCCTGGATCTGCACCTGGCTGAAAGCCCCACATGAATGTGAGCATTCCATCCTGCTCCCAGAGGTTTATCAGATACCTTCTTTCTAAGGAACACCTGCTGCATTTCCACCACTCAGAAGGAAGTAACGGGCAGGAGGGGGCAGCACTCTTTATAAAATAAAAAATGATGTACAGACAGGGCAGTAGGCAGGAAAAAAATTGACTGTAGGTGAAGCAGTCTTGAAAAAACAGGACTTGCTCAAAGGCTCTTCAAAGAAGTTAACAGCATGCCTTGCCATTCCCCTCCCCTCTAAGTAGTGATTTATTTCAATGCACTGAGAAAATGGGTTTCACGGCTAACAGCCATTATTTCTAATCAATTATAGGATGACGGAGAACAGAGCAGATGCTCTGCACCTCAGCCATTCTTCACACTTTGAATCACCTACAGGACACAGCAGCAGGCTGGAAGACAAAAAGATATGTCAGGAGGCAATTCAAATTAAGATGCAACCCTTAAAACTGGAACACAGCGTTTCCTCGCCTCTCCATACATAACAAGTTTTCAAACAGAGCCTGACTGGCTCATTTGATTTGTTCCTGCTAGCAGAGAAGCTCAGTTGTTGAAATGGACAACAGCAATTACACAACCTGAAAAAAGCATAATTTTTTTGTTCCTTAAAAACCCACAGCAAGTTGCATTGGCCAGGACAACCACTTGAGTTGAGGTGTCAGATGAACCGATACACTCCAGTAGCACTTAGAGATACCTATTTACCTGCCTTTTTTGCTTCCACCACATACACAGAGATGCTGTTGGGTTTTTCATATTCCTTTTTCTTTACTTCCACCTGCCTGGATGCTTCACGATGTGCTGCCAGAGAGCTGTGCACAGCCAACGACTCCTGAAGGACGCTCTCCAAGTCAGAAAGATGTTTCCTGGAGTAGCCTCCATGCTTTATTCGCCCTGACAAGACACTCACCCTGCTTGTAGCTGCTACTGATGGGGAGCTGGTGACTATCTGCGCTGTATTGCCCTTCCAGGCCTGCTGCCTGAGAAGAAACAAGCAGCACCAGCGCAGTATGACCTCGGCTTGACTCAAACCCATCACACAGCTGAAGAGAAGACATGGAGTTCCCACTCCAGAAATCTGCTGGATGCAGAGATATGGTGCCCATTCCTTTGTGTTTGAACTACAGGCTCTAACGTCTGTGCATTAATTCTTCTATGGACAGAGAAACCACTGCAAGGAACTGGGACTAACCATCGGAATTGCTTTTACACTGGAAAAACAGTGACCATGAAGCAGTGTTAACATCTGCTCTGTTAGTTTAACACTAATAAGAACAGACTATGGCATTTTATCATAGGGCACAGGAACACTAGGGGTAGGTGGGAGACTCTTGCTTGTGAATTAAAGCAGGATTTTCATGGCCACGGCTGGCCAAGTGGAGCCACAGATCTCCATTTCAGACGTCCGAGAAACCCTAGAAGGGGAAAGCATCCCCTGGCACACAGCAGGACCCCTGCACTGCAGCTGGGAAATGAGAGGATATTTGTGACATTTAACCAGATGCCAAAGAAATCCATGCTTCTATTTTCCTTTCTCCTGCCAAGGAAGCAAGCGCAATAAAACCCTCTTCCCCCAAAAAAGTAACTCTTACGGATCTGATCTTGATGGCAATCCCATCTCTAGACCCTCCTGACAAATTTGAGCCCCTCTTCCACACATCACCTGCTTGAATATAGATCAGATCAGCAAAGATTAAAAATTCTTCCTGTTAAGGGCTGTTTTGGTGTCTTTTATGTGAAATGATTTTTATGGTCACCAGTCAAAACTTTTCACTTTGACTTGGTCCAGATTGCAGCCAGAAGTATTTGCACAGTGCTGGGCACAACAGACCTTGTCTCTGACAGCAAGCACTTAAAGCAAGAGTGAAAATAATATTTACTCCTGACAAAACTGAGTTGTCAATGACCATTGCACATGTTGGACCTGGCCAAGAGCAAAAAATTGAAGCCAGAATAAAAAACGATTCTCCCTCAGCCCAAACACCAAGTCAGCTCCGCAAAGCCCTAAGCTGAATTCCGATTTACGGGCTTTAGGGACTGACTTTAGCGAACAGTTTTTTAATTGCCAAGCTTTGCTTCATTCAGGAATGTCAACCAGTTGATCTGTTCAGCTTCCTGAGGAGGATGGAGGAAGCAGTTCCAGTTTGATGCTCTCAGCAGAGCAATGTGAAGCATCAGAGGCGCACAAGTTACAGCAGTAACAGAACTGGAAAACTTCCGCTGTGGAAGGAGAACGGAGGACTCCTTCAATGCAGGTTTACACCGAGAGGTATGAAATGGTGCACTAGACCAAGAGCACTTCTGATACAACTCAAGCTGTGTTTGATAAGCTGCTGCCACAGCTCTGAACACAATGCACACTCACCAGAAGATCATGCAAGCCTAGTGACAAACCTGAGGGCTGTATGGCTCATCCTCTTGCTGAGGCAGACCTTCCTACTTTGTCATCTCATCTGAAAAGATTCCAAAAGAGGCTGTCCTTCTTGAAGGACATTATCATCTGGTCTCTATCCCCTCAGCAGGGAGAGTCTTCCTGATGTAAAACCACATTTAAATTCTCCCATAATCACAAGCAACATTCCTTAAAACAATGAGGATATATTTGTTTCTCCTAGAGAGCTTCTCTTTCTTCTAACATCTGTAGAGGTAAAGGATCCACTCCAGTCCTGAGATGCTGCTACCTGTTGAGCTAAGACCAGCCAAGCACATACGCTTATTAAAAAACACCTTTCAGGGATGCCTCTGGTTAAAAATTGACTACCAGCTACAAAAAAAGGAGATCAAGTGTCACTACACCGCATTCAAAGTCCCTGCCTAGCTTTAGCATGCAGCACACGTGTAGATGTGTTGGAGATGTCCTGCAGCAGCGGTCAGGCTTAAGGAGGGCGAGGACGGAGAAGGCAGCTAAATGGGACGTTGAAAGGAGCAGCAACAGCAAGGAACCACACAGACAGCAGAGAAGGGACTGGATGCTCCTAAAGACATGGGGATCATTACATGCAAGTGATGGGAGACAGATCTGGGTGGACTCTTAACATCCCACTAGCTCAGGGCATCCCAGCTGCCAGCATTGCTGCTCCAACAAGTGCAAAGACATCCATGGCAGATGTTTCTTTCCTCCCCCTCCAGAAAGGATCAAGCCCACAGCAGGAGAGGCAACACAGAGATGTGACCAGCATTGGGGTCACCTCCTGGGAGCTCCCAGAACTCCATGCTGCAGACGGGCCTCCCAGACAAGTAGTTTTGCCTTACCTTTGGGTGGACTTCCTAGGCTTAAAAAAAATAGAATTTAATGACATTTTGGTGAGATCCAGAGTAGCAGTTTCCTGCAACGTGCAGAGTTGTCCCTCACTCCCTACATCAGGGCAGGTGCTCTTCTCTGCTGTCTGGGTGGTACCGGGCCATTCACATTTTTGGAAGTCTCCCTGGATATTAGCTTTGTTAACAGGCACGTCAAGCATCA